GAATGTATGGGACAAGATACTTACATCGCTATCGGAGCTTCCAATAGCTCCGAAGCTATCGACTACTGGACTGATCTTCTCATCAATCAGTACGAATGTACGCCTCAGGGATTGAAGCGTGAGAACTTCGTTTTTTTTCTTGTGGTAATTCTGGGTTACAGTGAAAATGGACAACTTCTCCTGTTATGAGAACTGCCGCAATGATCATTCATCTGAAATTGATAGCTGTCATTCAGCTCTCGGCAAGAACATAAATAGTGGAATGGATCTGTGCTTGTGAGATTCATACATGTTACGCGTTCAGAATCCAAATCATTCCAGAGCTTTACAAACAAATGCCAATTGCAACTCTGATATTCAACGCAAGTGCTGTGGATACAATGCTTCTGTTCTTGCCTGCAACATTGAAGTCGCAGCTAGCCGAGCATCCAGTCCAATCTGTTCCGAAATGGGAAAAGTATCTTGCCCAGTAGCCAAGTAGACTCGTTCTGTTTTCTTTTACAGATTTCCGTTTGGAATAAATAAATTCATTCAAAAGCAAATTTTTACTAGTTCTTATGCACAAAGAGGGCTCATTACACAACGCTTCTGTACTGCTGGGCTATTCAAAATCTTATTGGCTTCTTCCTTCATGTTAGAAATCATAATAAGAAGTAAAAGTGCCTCGCATTCATACGTTACCAATATACTTGTAAAACCAACAGAGAATTATAACCCAGTTTAATAGATGAAGATATGCTGAATACCGTTTGAGACAGCAAAAGTTCGAACTTCACAATTCACCGATACTATTTGCATATTATCGCTGCATAGGAAGTCGTCGTTTGGTTTTCTCTGATCTCTCTGCCTTGTCCCTCCATCTATGCGTCTAAGCCAGACATGTTGTACCTACATTTGTTTGTCTAAGTCTTTATTTAGAGATTCTCACCTACAGCTACAACCCTTAACCCAGAACGTTTGTTTCTCCAGCGAACAGCTTAGTAGAACAGAGCTAAAGCTTTGAATAGACTGTTGTGTTCGTTTCAACATCTAAGAATTCGTTCTTTTCTTAGAGTATTTCACACTTTTTTCCGAACTCCTCTGAGCACTACACATGAACTATCCTCTTTACATAAATTTAAAAGAAAAAAACATTGCGTACTTTTCTCCTTTTTGATATTTCACTTTTCCTAGAGAAGTGTTCCAATAGAGAGAGACAGAGAGAGAGAGAGAGAGAGAGAGAGAGAGAGAGAGAGAGAGAGAGAGAGCTTCTTCTCTACCAACTAGTTCATAATGAGAACCATTGGTATTTCATTCTAAAATTTCATTTTTGTTCGGCTTCAAGTGGAATTTGTATGCTTGTATGGTTGAGATGGTGGAGAATATCAGATTTTCGGACAAACTCAATATTCAGACGTTCTTCTTCGGTTCACGGCGAACAACGTGCGACAATCGAGCTGTCATATGATCGCCTGTACATTAAAATTTTAATTCATTGAGCTAACGTAAAATTGTCCATTCGTTCCCTTATTTCCTTTATTCCTCAAGCTTTCCAGTTTGTCCTCTCTGCGTAGTTGACTAATCTTTTTTAAAAGATGAGTTTCAGCTCCAATAGAACAACGAGTTTGACTGGACCCACCCACCCACCGACCAACGATACGATTCGTTATTGAATTCTTGACCGCAAATCTTTCTTAGCTTTCTTCAGTTCATTGTATAGGTTGCAGTAGTTCAATTGTCCCAGGAGAACGTTACCGAATGTTCAGGTGCGTTTGAACTATGATGCAAAACAAACCTCAAGTATTTTGTAGATTTCTATCATTATTTCTAATCAAGTCGCATCTGATGTTCGCTAGTCCTCTAGAGCGAACAGGTGTGAAAACAGGGGTTGTGCCCATCTTTGACAGTACGTTTCTAATGATGATGTCCCCAAAACCATTTAAAAATAATATTTAGGTAGAATAACAAGTGAGCCAATCACGTTCACATTCACAACGGCGAATCCTATGGAGGTTTCGATCATTTCTTTGATTAAAAAATTTGCTTCCTTTAAGGTCAAAGCAACAGCTTTTCCTACTCTTCGTCCAAACACTTACGTTAGTTTTGAGCCAGTACTTCAGAACAACATCAACTCCTTCAATGTTAACGAGAAATGGCAAAACCTTCAGTCTCTAGAGAAAAGTGAGTGAGGAAGTTGCAGAAATAGTTCATTTGGTTTTATTAAGCGAATATGGACATAAAGAATACAATAAAACAAAATAAAATGATCCAATATCCAATTTATAATCAAGCTCAGTACTATGTTAGTTTTATTAATTATTAAATGGAACATATATCATTATTGTATTCAATTCAGAAAGCAATTCAATCTTTGACTCAACAAATCCTTCCACCATCATCAACTAACTATGAGCGTTCGCTTAGTGACTTGTTCCTGAAAAAAGCTGATTATTCTCAAATATGGAATCAGATCAAGACCTCATGGCAGCAGGTCAACAATAAAGTAAATAGCTTAACACCCACAACCTTTTTGCAACTATTAAAATTATAATTAATCGCTGATATCATTCTAATACTCCGATAGCTGTTTTACTAATCATATATTCTATTTAACATTCGGTTGTCCGTGCGAACTTCTGATTAAACTGTTTCATTTCACTACTTCTTCTTCTATATCTATCTTTCTCAGTTTCTTCCTTCTCAAAACTATTTTCAGATGCAAGATTCACTTAAACGCAATGGTGCCGAATCGGATTGGAGACAATTATGGCAGAAGCTCAGCGGTTTCCTTAAATATAAATGAGAAAATATGAAAAAAATTGGCATTTGTAGGTGCATTCGAACCGTTTATGTCCCAATTTAGCGAACAAATTGGAAGAGCAATGAATATTTTCCTGAAAAGCCATCAAAACAATCATCATCGCAAACAGGTTTGCCATTGTTTCGATTCATTTGCCGAAAAAAATTGAAAGACAACCGTTCTATTCAATGCATTTGAACTAAAAATGAAAACGGTGCACAGAATATAACGTGAAGATCACGTTGATGTAATTAGAATATGCAAATTGGAAGATAATGATGACGTGAAAATATAAATCTATATGTTTCAAGAAAAGCAGAGAGAAAAAAAAATTATTTTTTCAGTTTATTACAAATGAACTAATAAGCAAATACGAGAAGGAAGAGAAAGTAAGATCTATATTTAAATATGAAAAATAAATAAAATTTTAGAAATATCTGAATAACCATGTGTAACAATAGAGAAAAGCACATAGTTCATGTCTCCTACGATACATGTGTATAACAAAAGACTTTATGAATCAGCTTGACGATCTTCAATAAATTTATTTTTTTTGTCTCTTACTTTCACATATTTGTACAAAAATAAAAAATTTTTATTAATTATTTCAACAGATAACATTGTATTGGCTTATGTTTGCTACTGCTGCTTCTGCTGCTGCTGTTGCTACATCGGCTGTTGCTGCTTCTGATCTGAAGATCCTCTTTTAGTAGGCTTTGCTACAATAAATCTTGTATTACGCTTTCTGGTAAAGCATGACAGAAAATAATTTTCTCTCTCTCTATCTCTCTTGCTGAGTTTTTTGTGTTCATGTCTACTCTCCATTTCCTTGAAATTGAATTTCTTTGACTAAACAATAATTTGTTTTTCAAGTACTTTCCGTAGTTTTCAAACTTGTCACTTAAATCAATTGAGATCCAATTTCAAACAGAAGGTGTAAACGAGAAGGAAAAAAAAGTTAAGAAGTTTAAAGTATAAGCATATAAGTTTCACAGCTCTCTTTCTCACACGTATCTAACACTTCATACAATTACCAAGCAATTTAGAAGCGTCCACGTGACTATTCGCAGTTATACCATGTCCTGCTAAGTTGTTTGTTTACACTTTTCACAATTTGAATAGATAGAGGAACGGTTTTCCTTTGACTTCAATGCTCTTCACTTTCTGTTTCACTTCCCTCTTAGTACTTCTACCCCTTCTCTCTTTCATCTCTTCAATTTGTATTTGGCTTCAGGCTATTTCCCTTAATAGAGTATCAAAAATCTCATGAAAATATTTGAAAATTATACCGAAAGAAAAGAAAGAGCGTTTGATGTTCTAGAATATATAATGCGATTCTATGTAAGGAGACCATTGTTTTCACGAGTTTCAGAGCAAAAATGTGACATCATTAAACTCCTTATGTTAAAAGACGTTGTCACATCGTCTCTTCTATCTTCAAGTCAAATTTTCATCAGAACCACCTATTCAATCTCACACTCTTCTGTCTCTCTATCTCTCTACCCTCACATTCTCTTATAATCTCTTCAAGCTTTGCTGAAAACCTCTCTGTGCTTGTATCTCATTATCTCTCAGAATCTTTTTTCTTTCTTTTTTAACTTTTTCCAAGTCCGTATTTGCACGTCGAAGTTCATTGTGATTTGAGATCTTTCTCATTTTCTTTCAATGAATTAGATTTCAAAAATCATTGAGAAAGTTGATTCGATTGAGCTCTTTTATGTTTTGGCAGTGAGTTTTCTTCTATTTCCTTTGTATTTCATCAGAATGCATCCATAAACCAATCATTTTATGTAAATTAAAACAAATGTTTTTGTGGAAGGTCAAACAAACTCAACAATGTTTGAACTTCCTTTCGAATGTGGCCCCCCCATACATACAACCTTTTTGAAGCTTAAAAAAACTTTCTCTCTCTCTCTCATCAAGTATTATTATGGCTGACGATAACATAGCTCTACATACAGCTTCAACGCCTTTCAATCAAAAGAGTACAATTTCCTCCAATTAAACACCAAACTTCTTTTGCGTTTTTTTTTATTTGTGCTCCGAATCTTCTCCCTGCTGTTCCAGCATCTGCTGAAACAGCAAAACATTTTCATAAACAAATGAATGATATACGAGTTGGAAGGCTGGAATACTAGAAGGGGGGGGGGGGGGGGCCAAAAAAAGTATTAGAATTAGACTTTTCTTCCTTAATATTCAAAAGTGTGCTCTTCGTGTGCCCTAAGCCTCCGCTTTTCTGTTCCTGTTCCTGAATATGGATGTTATTCTCAAAATCTTTCTCAAATCCCTTAAGACTTAGCCTGAGGTCATCTCCAACATTTATTCCTCTTCAACTCCTCTTTATTTTTCTTGAAAAGTTTTTGAAAAAAAAAACTTCTCACTCATTCTTAGCAGCTCTTCATCTAAACCAACAGTTCGGTGCCAACTGACGCGCATGCATGAGTTAGCTTATTCCCCTCCTGAACTTTAACGGACGTTTCAATGTTTGGTTGAAGATCTTGCATGAGACGTTCAGGTCGTTGATTTGAAATTTTGATGAGAGTGTCAGCAAAACTTTGAAAAGTTAGCTTTGCTGTTCACTTACGTCATGAGACGTAGCTCATTCAATGATAGATCAAAGCTATATAAGGCTAAAGATGTTATTATTAGAGCAGTCCAAATTCATTATTTTGTTTATTTGAGAGAAAGAAAAATAAGGAATG